TAGTTAGGATTAAGTTTGTGACTATTAAGACAAAACAAACTGTAGCTCAATGTAATAAAGAACTTTCCAGCATTTAGAAATAATGAAAGGGGTGCTTTAAAATATAATGAGGACCAGGCATGGTGGCTCACATCTGTAACTGCGGCACTTTGGGAGACCAAGGCAGAAGGACCACTTGAGGCCAGGAGTTCAAAACCAGTTTAGGCAACATAGTGAGACCATGCATCCAGTAAAAAATTTAAAAAAAATTAATTAACCAAACGTGGTGGCGGGCACATATTGTCCCAGCTACTTGAGAAGCTAAGGCAGAGGATGGCTTGAGTGCAGGAGTTCAAGGCTGTAGTAAGCTATGATCGTACCACTGCATTCCAGCCTGGGTGACAGAGCAAGGTTCTGTCTTTAAAAATATAAAAATAAAAAAATTAAGAAAAATATATTATGAGCCCTGCCGAACTGGAAGTATTCAAGCAGAAAATGAAATATAGTAAGGCTTCATGTTGAATTTTAGACTAAATGAACGCTAATGTCCCTCCAACTCTAAGATAACTTAATTCTAATACTAATAAATCAACTGGCAGTGCATCATTGTAGCTGAGTTAAAATATTGATATTACTTAACCATAATCAATAAGGGAATTACCAATTTATAATTACATGACATTAATGAAATAATGTTAAAGCTCCATGTAGAAGTCTGCATTAAAATATAGAATCTACAAAATATTAAAAAAACCAAACCCAGCAATTTAAAAAAAAATTATAACTGGATAATTACTTCATTTATATACTAAAATAGGTAATTTCATTTCCGCTGCCACTCCTTGGTGGAAATTAAACTCATTTTTGACACTGAAAAGTTGGGACATTTCAAGTAAAATAAAAAGGGGCTTCTCGGCTGGACGTGGTGGCTCACACCTGTAATCCCAGCACTTTGGGAGGCTGAGGCGGGCAGATCATGAGGTCAGGAGTTCGAGACCAGCCTGGCCAATGGGCTGAAACCCTGTCTCTACCAAAAATACAAAAACAAAAACAAAAAACAAACAAAAAATTAGCTGGGTGTGCTGGCGCGCACCCGTAGTACCAGCTACTAGGGAAGCTGAGGCAGGAGAATCGCTTGAATCCAGGAGGAGGAAGTTGCAGTGAGCCGAGATTGTGCCACTGCATTCCAGCCTGGACAACAGAACAAGACTCTGTCTTAAAAAACAAACAAACAAAAAAAAGGTTGGGGGCTTCTCAAAGTGGAAAAGCCTGGCCAGATGCAGTGGCTCACGCCTGTAATCCCAGAACTTTGGGAAGCCAAGGCAAGCAGATCACAAGGTCACAAGTTCGAGATCAACCTGACCAACATGGTGAAACCCTGTCTCTACTAAAAATACAAAAATTAGCCAGGTGTAGTAGCACGTGCCTATAATCCCAGCTACTCAGGAGGGTGAGGCAGGAGAATCACTTGAACCTAGAGGCGAAGGTTGCAGTGAGCAGAGATAGCACCACTGCACTCCAGCTTGGACGATAGAGGGAGACTTGGTCTTAAATAAAAAAAGAAAAAGAAAAAGTGGCAAAGCCTATCTAGGAATAAAACAAAGAGGAAAAAGAGCTATCAGTCACGTAGGTTAAAGTCTCCCTGACAAAGTCTACATTTAACTTTTTCTAAGAAAAGAGAAGTACAGCAAAAACAAAAACACTGAAGCGCTGTAGCTCCTGTGGAGACAATCTACAATCTATCTACAATCCATAAGATTCACACACAAAATATATGTAGGAAAATTTCAAGTGCTGAATTATTTTACTGAGAAACTGTAAAGCAAAAAGACAGCTGCTTATACATATTACATAACCAATATGTTTTTAAATTGTTAGTATACGTAATGTAACATGTCAGCTAACAGTTGGATAAAATAGATAGAAATGCCTTTCAGCCTCTTATCCAAATGTTTCTTTTCCTTACATTCCCCTACAGTTCAAAGGAGCTGAATCTCAACCATTGTAAACACACTCTTTCAATCAAAAATAGGGAGGGCATGGCACCTTAACTTTAAAATAATAAAATGTGATTAAATAGTATAGTACATTACTTCTCTCAGTGTTAAGACATACTTGTATGTAAAATCAATAGTAAAATCAAATTTACTACTGAATTTGAAGTTTCACTTTTAATTTCAAAACTACTATAGTTAATTTCTGTTTTAGCTTTATTGGTTCATTAAAGAAGGAAAGTTATTTCAGAAATAAGTAACAGAAGCATCTAGGAGCATGCTAAAGGCCTTAGCTACCTGCCTTTCCCAAAGTTCTCTTTAAAAGTAACATCTTTCACAGGTCTTTTTCACATCTAACTGCCAATAAACATAATATTTCTTCTGAATAATTGGTGTGTTTTTGTCATGTCTTATGAATCTTAAAAACCCTCTTTGCTACGGCAATCAGAAATATAAGACACAAATCTGCAGTTTTCCTCTAGGAATTGTGCAGTAACTTAATAGTGAATATCCACCACCATCCTATACTTGCTTACCCTTCATGCTAATTTCATTAGCTACTTTCTAAAACTTATGTCTAATAAAACTCTAAAATCAATTTCTTTTTGAATAATTCACAGGATAAACAGAAGCAAAAATACGAAAATCACCTCTCTTAAAGAGTAATAAAGATTCTAAAGCTAAGCAAAAAAGCAGGGATAGTCATGCATACTAGTCAATTCTTAGTCAAGCATTTACTAAGTGGCCATGGCCAACAGAGCTATGGTTCTAGTTGAATGAAAAATTTTAAATATATTCCATCTTTCCCAATTTCCTAGCCTAACCTTTGAAAAGATTCTCTTTTAGAACTTCCTCTTCATTCTTTAAATTATAAATATATACAGGTCTGTGGCGTGTTAGGAACCAGGCCACACCGCAGGAGATGAGTAGCGGGTGAGCAAGCATTACCTTCTGAGCTCTGCCTCCTGTCGGATCACCAACAGCACCAGATTCTCATAGGAGCCCAAACTCTATTGTGAACTGCGCATGCAAGAGATATAGATCACACGCTACTTATGAGAATCTAATGCCTGATGATCTCAGGTGGAAGTTTCATCCAAAACGCCCTCTGCCCCCTGGTCCATGGAAAAACTGTCTTCCACGAAACCACTGACTTAGAACACTAAAAGTAATGAGGCATCTTCCATTATCGCTAGAGAAAAAATTTAGGGAATATCACTAGAGAAAAATTTTAGGGAAAATGTTTAGGGAATATCATCAAAATAAAAAGAGCAAAGTAAAGCTTGCTTCCTTAACAGACCAAGAGTCCTGTCATTACACTTAACAGATTATCTTGAGACCTGGGCAGCAACAACAAATTATTAGTAAAAAAGATGTAAAGACGCTGTGTTTTGTGACCGACAAACAGGTACCTTGCCCTATTATCAAATGCAGAGTTCTAGGCTGGATAGGGTGGATATTTTGACCTTCCGGCAAGGTAATGGGTCCTCTATCTGCTCTTCATCAGGTGATCTTTCCATTTATTAGTGGTGTATACTAACCTCCTCAAAGGCAGAAGTTTTTGTTTTTGTTTTCTGGGGGAAAAGGGATGCAGATAATTTTGTAATCAGTCTTTTTATGTCAGTTCTACAAATGTGGCTTTAAAAGCGATGTAATTTCAACAACTCACCTTTGTGAAATGGAAAGTTACAGGAGTAAATCAGGGATTCCCTGAATTTTTCCAATCCCATTTGTGTATCTCCTCTCTAAATGTGAAAGATTTTAAACCAATGATTATTGGGACCATAAATACATCTAAAAACAAGCCGCCCTTGTAAACCTTTGCAATTCCTTATGGCAGTGGTTCTCAAGCTTCGGTCTGTATCAGAATTACCTGGCAAGCTTGTTAAAACACAAACTGTAGGAGCCTATCCACAATTTCTGATTCAGGTCTAGGGTATTGTTTGAGAACTGGTCAGTCGAACAAGTTCCCAGTTGATGCTTGTCTGGGAATCACACTTTAAGAACTGCTGCCTTAAGGCATTATACATCTAGACTAGTTAAAACATCATCTCGACTAAAAAGTTTATGATAAAGTTTTGGCATCCTACCCCTAAACACAAGGAATCACAGAAATAACATAACCCAATGTTATCAAAGCTTTGAAAAAGTAAGTGTCCTCACATGTATTGATAGTGTTTAAATTAGCATAAATTTAAATACTAGGGCACAATCAGGTAAAATACTGAAAAGAGCCATTAGAAATGACAAGTAAAATAATCAAAGGGAAAAAATTTGTATGTGCCAAAACATTCACTCACCACTTACGACTGCAAAATGCCAAACAACTGGAGAATAATTATACAAACTATAGTACACTGAACAAATGGAGTATTATTTAACCATAAAGATGACAAAAAATGAAGCACACAAACACACAGAAAATGGAAACAAACTATGAAATACAAAAAGTAGAACATAAAACTGATAACAGCAATACATATTTAATGATAAAAACTAGAAGTAGCCTCAATAGATGTAGTATTTATTTAAGGTGAAGAAATAAGCTACTTTAGACCTAATATAAGATAGTTTAAGGCAGTCAATTTCATTAGCTACTTTCTAAGACCTTTCAATAGAATATTTCACAGAATATTTTGAAGTAGCCTCTGGTCTACAGATTACAGTGACCATCTAACCCACTGAAAATTACTTTCAATATTTATGAAGTAAATAGTTAAGAGAAACAGTAAAAGTAAAAAAAAAAAAAAAAAAAAAAAAAAAACTAAGAAAATCTACTTACAGTTCCCAGATAATACTTCCTTACAGTTTTAACATGCAGAAGGGAAACTTAGTAACTACGTTGGGCACAGCTAGCAAAATCACTTGAACCAAATGTACAGAGTGGTAAAACAGATCAAAAAGATTGGGATTCAAAGCCTAGTAACAATGTTAAAAAAAAAAATACTTCCAGAAAAACTAATCCAATCATTAAAAACATTTTTTCAAAACTGTTAAAAATAATGACTTTTAAAGTGCATAACTTACTGTTTTGATTCACTGTGACAAACTTCCAAGGTTGGGTCATTGTAAATAAAGGCAGCCTCTAAATCATTGATCCTTACTCGGTATATTCTACACTGTTTACTGTTCAACTTGATTCTATTCAAGTTTGCAACTGTGGGAAATACAGTCAGTTCCACAAATCCCTGCAAAGATAGAGAATAACAACTTCATTACAAAGACTGGTATGTTTCAGAATATATTTCTTTTATTTTTACCACTTACAAACATATTACACTCCAGACACAAAATCCCAAATAGCTACATACATATGTATGCTCTCCAAGTATCTTACTTTCAAACATGATTGTCCTAGTGACTGAATGGGTGTGAATTATGTATACTTTATCATCCTGGTGGTTCATATTCACGATTAGTGAAAATTAGGCAGTCAGAAAAAAGTAAAAGGGCTCGCTACTCTCAAAAACCAGAATTTTTAAACAGACTAGGATCTAAAAAGGGAAGAAAAAAAAAATGACAGAGCAGAAAGAGAATCAAAACCAGAAGGTTGATGAGTGAAAGAACATGTCAGAAAAAAAGGGGTAAAAAATGATACCACTGAAAGCAACAAGTATGAGTTTCTGCTCATGAGTAAATTAGGACACGTAAAATGGCAAGAGCTACAAAAGATACCAAGGCAAGTAGGAAAAATCTGCTGCTATATTCAGGAGCAGCAGATACGTCACAGTGTTCGATCACTTCCTATCAAGTCGTCCAGAGGCCGTATGTAGTTCGACCATGTTAGCTGTCAGAGGCCGTATGTAGTTCTACCGTGTTAGCTGTATGTTAGCAATGTCTCTTGTCCAACACATGAAAAACAGTTAAATACAGACTGTTCACCACCCTCTTGTATTGAATCAATGCGAAAGACGAACAGATTAAACACGGAATATATGTTCATTGATTTTAATATCTTGGGTTGAAAACTGATATACTCAAACATAAAACAAGGGAGGGCATGAAATTGCAGTATTTCAGGGGCTCCAAAGTGAACAGAAAAATTTCAGAGGCTATAACAGAAATATTTAAGAGAAAATTCAGATAGCAACCATAGAGGACTAGATTATAATGGCTGCTACCATGTACCAGACATTACACTAGATACTTTCCTATGTTCCCTCTAATCCTAATACCAACTCTAAGAGACTACTTTATACTTTTTACAAAGAAGCTACAAATATTACTGTAAAGTATTTTAAAAAGTTAACTTTTTACAGATAAGATAACAAAGGCAAAAAAAAATTAGGTCAGTAATAAGTAGGGAATAGAGATTCAAACACAACTAAATAATTCCAAACAAATCCCACTATGCCATAATGCCTCTGGGTACAAGGGTTTTAAATAATATGCAAAGTTGTTTTTAGGTAACATTTAGCCCCAACTGCTCAAGAAAGCCTAGAGATTCTGTAGCCCCTTTGTTCTCAATTCCCAGGTAAGAGGAGAGCCACACACTCTTAAATCAGAACAATCTGCACATATCTGTGAGTTAGAAACACAGAGAACAAAAGGGCAAAGTCCAAAATACAGTTGATGAAGATTTTGTGTTTAAAGGTGTAAACTATGAACAGCTGTAGGAAGGATGACCAGAATTCCTTTTAATTAGAATCTGTCATCCAATGACCATTCTAAATTTAAAAGAGTTTGGATCAGCTGAAAGATAAGAATTAGAACCAAGACAACTACAAAACAAAAGATTAAAGAAAGTACTGTCAATTGCTACTTGGGTGAGACATAAGAACAGCATCTGGCTTTCTAAACTCTGGTAACAATAATAGAATGATGAAATGTAATTCAGGAAGACAGGAAAAGCCCAGTCTCCTTGCACCATCAGGCCTCTGCCACCGCCTAGGGCTCTAACCTACACCTGCCCAAAACATTCAGACCCATTAACTCTACAAGTCTTCAATCTCTGCTGCCCTTAGCCACTGGCATAACTGCAAGCCCCTCAGGTCGTCTAGCCTCTCACTCCTTGCTTCTTGCTCTCTCCCCACCACTTCACAGATAACCATCCTCCTGGAGCCCACATTCCATTTTAAACATTCCCCTTGTGCCTTTCAACCTTTTCTAAAACTCCCTCTCTACCCTCTTGCCTTAAATGAAATGGCTCCTGAATCCTCCTAGACAAGAAGTTACTTACTCTCCCACTCACTATAAATGAGGGTGGTGGAAAATAGGCATTCTCCTAGTTTCCACAACTACTTCCAGGCCATTTATAGGATTTTATTTAATGTACACTATAAGGTTAAGGACAGTGTGGTGTCACCGTTAAAAGCAGGTGTTTTGGAGGTAGACTCCCTGTATAGAAATCCTAGCTCTACCACTTAGTAACTGTATGATCTTGGGCTAGTGACTCCAGCTCACTGTGCCTCAGTTTCTTCATAAAAAATAATGACATTACTGGCCTATTAGTGTTATTATGACAACCGAACAGCCAGGCATGGGCTCACTCCTGTAATCCTAGCACTTTGGGAGGCTGAGGCAGGAGGATTGCTTGAGTCCAGGAGTTCAGAACCAGCCTGGTCAATATAGCAAGACCCTATCTCTACAAACTACTAAAAAATTAGCCAGGCATGGTGGCTGCAGTTCCAGCTACTGGGGAGGCTGAGGTAGAAGGATTGCTTGAGCCTGGGAGGTTGAGACTGCAGCGAGTCGTGATTGCGACACGGGTGACAGAGCAAGATCACATCTCAAAAACAAAACAAAACAAAAACAAAGACAACTGAAAAACTTACCACATGGAAAACACTTAAAATTATAGCTGGCATCTAGTATATGCTTAATAAATGCTTTTGTTATTCTTTTCTGTTTATCCTTTGTGTTCATGCTCTACAGGTACACTATCCTCTATGCTTCTTCATTAATGTCTATGAAATTCCCCAACATTTGCTGAAGGCTCATACTCTTTTTTTTTTCTTTTCAGAGACAAGGTCTTATTCTGTCACCCAGGCTGGAGTGCGGTGTAGCAATCATGGCACACTGCAGCCTCAACCTCCCAGGCTCAAGTGATCCTCTCACCTCAGCCTCCAGAATAGCTGGGGACTACAGGCATGCACTACTACTTCTGGTTAATTAAAAATTTTTTTCTCTAGAGATGGGTCTTATCATGTTGCCCAAGCCGGTCTGGAACTTCTGGCCTCAAGGACCCTCCTATCTCGGCCTCCCAGAGCACTGGGATTACAGGTATAAATACTGCACCTGGTCACATACTCTTCTTTTGTAACACACGTCTCCCATCACTCTAAGTGACTTGAATATAGATGTGTCTGATCCAACCAATAAAACTGCCTCAAAGTTCTCTGACCTCAATTCCTACAATCTTCACTTCCATTCAGGAAGAATCAAGATCACACTCTGAAAAGCACTTCATCACTGCTTAGAACTGCTCTGATGCTGACATGAACTCAAATGTCCACAATGCCTCTCCTCACCCTTCTCATTACTTCTCTACCAGTCCTCCTGTTCAATTGCCTGAAATCCTCCTGTCCTTGACTTCTTCCAGTTTCTCACCACAATCTTCTTGGCACTCCCTTCACCCTAAATCCTTAAATTCAACCACTCCTCTGCCAACTACCAATTATCTTGCCCCTCTGTTTCATGTATCCATCTTTCCCTTCTGTTTAAGAATGATATATCCGGCCGGGCGCGGTGGCTCAAGCCTGTAATCCCAGCACTTTGGGAGGCCGAGACGGGCGGATCACGAGGTCAGGAGATCGAGACCATCCTGGCTAACACGGTGAAACCCCGTCTCCACTAAAAAATACAAAAAACTACCCGGGCGAGGTGGCAGGCGCCTGTAGTCCCAGCTACTTGGGAGGCTGAGGCAGGAGAATGGCGTAAACCCGGGAGACGGAGCTTGCAGTGAGCTGAGATCCGGCCACTGTACTCCAGCCTGGGTGACAGAGCGAGACTCCGTCTCAAAAAAAAAAAAAAAAAAAAAAAAGAATGATACATCCAAAGGTCCTTCAGCACCCACTCCCCACAGTATCCTCAGAAATATCAGTTTGTCTCTCTCCTATAATTACAATCTTTCCTTTCTGTAGAATGTTTTTCCTATGCCTATAAATATGTTCAAGACTCAAAGTTTTAAAAGTCTTTAGATCTCTGCTACCCTCAAATGAATGTTTTGCCATCTTTCTCTCATACCTTCAAAAGAGAAATTCTTGAAAAAGTACAATGTGTTCACTGTTCCAACTCTCTCTTCCATTCAGTACAATATGACTTACGCAGTCATCATTCCACTGAAGTTACCTGATATGGTCTGGCTGTGTCCCCACCCAAATCTCATCTGGAATTCTCATGTGTTGTGGGTGAGACATGGTGAGGGGTAACTGAATCATGAGGGTCAGTCTTTCCGTGCTGTTCTCGTAAAGTGAATAAATCTCATGAAATCTGACGGTTTGAAAAACGGGAATTTTTCTGCACAAGCTCTTTTTGCCTGCCGCCATCCATGTAAGAGATGACTTGCTCCTCCTTGCCTTCTGCCATGATTGTGAGGCTTCCCCAGCCACGTGGAACTGTAAGATCTCCATTAAACCTATTTCCTTTGTAAACTGCCCAGTCTCAGGTACGTCTTTACCAGCAGCATGAAAATGAACCAATACAGTAAACTGCTACCAGTAGAGTGGGGTGCTGCTAAAAAGTTACCTGAAAATGTGGAAGCAACTTTGGAACTGGGTAACAGGCAGAGGCTGGAACAGTTTGGAGGGCTCAGAAGAAGACAAGAAAATACGGGAAAGTTTGGAACTTCCTAGAGACTTGTTGAATGGCTTTGACCAAAATGCTGATAGTGATATGGACAATAAGGTCCAGGCTGAGGTGGTCTCAGATGGAGATGAGGAACTTGTTGGGAACTAAAGCAAAGGTGACTCTTGTTATTTTTAGCATAGAGACTGGCAGTATTTTGCCCTGCCCTAGAGATCTGTGGAACTTTGAACTTGCGAAAGATGATTTAGGGTATCTGGTAGAAGAAATGTCTAGGCAGCAAAGCATTCAAGAGGTGACTTGGGTACTGTTAAAGGCATTCCATTTTATAATGAAAGTACAGCATAAAAGTGTGGAAAATTTCCAGCCTGACAATGATAGAAAAGAAAATCCCGACTGGGGATGGTGGCTCACACCTGTAATCCCAGGACATTCGGAGGCCAAG